TGTGTGTGTGTGTGTGTGTGTGTGTGTGTGTGTGTGTGTGTGTGTGTGTGAGATGGAGTGTATCTGATTGGGATGGATGAAGGGAAGTATGGCTTCCCACAGACGCAGGCTGTCTGTCTGATATAGCATCTGTTTGTCTGTCTGTTCTGTGTTTCAGTGTGTGTTTAATGCTAATAACCCCTAAAAAGTGTGTTTGATTTTTCCAAACAGTTTATCTCCTATACTTGAGAGAAACATGAAGAATTTGCTGTACTTACTGAATGAACTGAACTTACTTATTTATTGAATTTAGACCATATAATATAATTTATATAGTACATATAGTATAAATAATAACTAAAATGTATAGTAAAAATGTAAAATGTATAACTAGAAAATGCATTGGAAAAAAAAAACTGGACATAGCATGCAAAAAACGTACGGAAGATTAAAAGTAGAAGAACCATACTGTGGATGCTTAATCAGCATCCACACTAATAACCAAAAATAAAGATAAATATTTTTTATGGGATTTTCAGATATTCCAGGATCATTGGGATTGATCTGATAGAGTAGGGTTTCAGCCCAGATACAAGAGCAGCAGTGAGGTCCAGCACTGACAGGTGATGAGGCCTGGCCTGGCTCACAGCCGGTGTTCTAGTTCATCTCAGAGGTGTTAGATGAGGTTGAGCTCTGCACAGTCAAATTTGTTCCATGCCAAGCTTTCAAAAAATTCCCCGCTTGTGCAAGTAGCAACAGGAAAGGGACGTTCAGAAAAGCATCTAAAATATTTTGGGAAGTGTGAGGCTTTTCTTTGTGCCTGTGTGTTAAATGAGACAATTGATTTATTATGCAAGTCAGGATGTTCTTAGTGTAGCATAAATATTGAGGGTGGCTTTCTCTGACACAAAAAAGTGGATGACAGTCCGTCTTTTGCAAATTTCTGTTTGTGCATGGTTTTGCTTTTCTTCAAAACAAAGGATCAGGCTTGGTTTTGGTGCTATAGGTTTGGGATTGTCATTGATTAGGATTAAACCACTGCAGTAAATTTTGTTCAGATAAGTTCTGAACCTTGGAGCAGAGCTACGGTAATATTTTAGTTTTAAAGTCTGTAACTTTTGAAAGGTTTACCTCTAGGTTCACACTACAACTTTGACTTTTCTGGACCTCCTAAAATGAAGAGTTTCAGAAACACTGTTTACTCTGTTCACTCCGTTCTAGTTTGTAAAAGTCTGGAAACTGAGACCTGCGAAGCTCACACATATTTTGTGATTTCATTCTTCTTGTGTGTCTATAGTGATGGATCATGCTCCTTGTACCAGTATATTTCTTTGCAGTCTGTGGTTTTCACCCCCATGACCACCTTGCACTCAAGCTAGTTTCTGCCACACTTCTATCTTATTGTAAATCCAAGCAAAGACACTTTCACGCTTACTGTTTGCCATTGCAAACAACCAACCTTCTGGTTGCTAGTTATACCCCCCACACATCACCAGTGATATCAGGGGTTTACAGCCCTGGTGGTTTAAAGCTTACCTGAAATAGACAGGACATGTGTTCAGGGTAGCCTTAGAGTCTGTAGCTGTTTTCAGTCTTCCAGGCAACTAATTATGCAAGTAATTAGTAGATTAATTGCTTTAGAAAAATGTTTAACAAAATGAAGGAAAAGCAGAAAAAATGTCCTGCAGTCTAAACCCCAAAGAATTTAGTTTATAATTATATATTTTTTTAAAAAAAAACCCAAAACAAAACAGAATATTTTCACATATCTGAAGAGCCAGACCAAGCTTGTAGTATTTCTGCTGATGAATGAGTATGAAACAGCTGTTTATCATTATAAAAGACAAACTTTTTTGTAGACCAAAGCCCTGTCCGTATACTTCTGGCAATACTCTATGACTCTCGGGCTTTTCTTTCTCGACCCATGTTTAGATATCCATCCCAGGGGCTTTCACGGGTTATTTTTTTCTCTCCTTGTTAAAAATCTTGCTGCTTCCTGTACCCTCACCCTTCTCTTCCTAATCACTTGTGTCTCCTTGGGATTGCGACAGAATCGCGGGATGCCTCTCACTCATATACACACACACACTCACACACTTACTTTACCCAGCGGCACAGCCCATAATGAACTCGCTGCTGTGCAGTTGTGGATGAAATAAGAACCCTGATGTGCTCATCAGAGGCTGTTTCAGGGCTGCGGAAGACTTCTCTGCATCTCCATTCATGCTTCCTCCCTCTTTGCTCTGCTGTCACTGGCCTACATACATGTGTCAGTATATCACACACACACACACACACACACACACACACACACACACACACACACACACACACACACACACACACACACTTTATTTTTTTTACTTCTGTCTCTTCCAATCACACCACATATATCCCTTTTCTTTCTCCTTGTCTCATCTCTGCTGCCATGTCTATTGCCTGTGCCTTGAATGTTTTCAGCACCTTCTTTTGTTTCTTTCTGTCCTCCCCCCTCGTTGCCCTGTTCTGTGAGACATTATCAGAGACGACAGTCTTGGTGTTTTCTGCCCCGTTGCATCTACTTTTGCAGTAACAGCTCTGCCCATCACTCTATACAGTTTAACTTTAATAGTTTGTCATGTAGAGAGCTGCATTAAAGGCACTGGAGAAGAAAATAAAATCAGAAGGTTTTTTATGGGGTCGCCTGTGGCTCAGGAAATAAGCTGGGTCATCTACTAATCAGGATTTTGATCCGTGGCTCCTTCGCTCTGCGTATCTAAGGATCCTTGGGTAACATACCTAAACCCAGGTTGCCCCTGATGCATCTGTCAACCTTACGCTTTTCATAGCAAGAAGGTCCTGGGTTTGAACCCACTGGCCTGCTGGGGCAGTTCTGTGTGGAGCTTGCATGTTCTCCCAGTGCCTGCATATGTTCTCTCTGGTGCGTGTTAGGTCAACTTGTGAATGTGAGCTTGAATGGCCGTTGCTGTGTTGTCCCTGCAATGATGATGATCAAGCAACAATCAAAACGTGGCCTTCAAGTTAAGAAAACGTTGACCTTATTTATTATTAACCCTGGCGTACACTCTGTTGATGGTGTGGTTTTTTTTTTAACCTCCTAAGACCCGAACTCTTCCATGGCATGCATTTTTAATTTCTCTTTGATATTTGGGCTGATTGGGGCCTGATGAATGTAAAAAGAAAGAATTACCAGAGTTTATTTTACCTTATTTTTGTTTTTAAGAAAAATAAGAGCCACATATGAGGATATTCGTTTAAACTTTTGATAGAACAGTAGCAGTATAATGTCCTCGTAAGTGGATATCAGACCCTTGTAGAGCAAAATTGAGTATTTTGGTCTAAATAACCCAAAATGTGATCTCCACATATGTGGACGCCAGGTCCTAGGAGGTTAATAGAGCTGTGAGGGGACTTAAATGTAAATCTGACCCATGTCTGCTTATTTTGGAGCTGAACACTTGTGATTTGAATTGGAAAGCTTAGGTAACGGGCTGTACAGTACTAACAAGCAGCACTGATGTAACACTACTTTATATTTTTAGATAAATGGTGAATGTCTCTTTCTTTGCCTTAAGGCTCTATGCTTTTAATACATTGTTCTGAGGAACACTTTACCGTGTCATTGCTCACTCGCTGCTCTCTCTTCTCGTCTGTCTCTGCAGCTCTCACCAACTGACAAGAGTTTGGAGTTTGACAGAGACTTTCGCATCAGGCACTATGCAGGAGATGTGATGTAAGTATCTAAGACTTTTATTTATTCAGGAAAAGCTTTTACTGATGATTCATCCTCTTTTCCTCAGCTTTACATATTCATGCCTCAGAGCTGGCGACTCAAACCACAGCCTTGCACTCTGGCCCACTTCAGGAGCAGATGGAGGTTTTGGTTCTTAAAAGAATCTGAATAGTTTTCAGGGCAATAAATCACACTTTGCAACTGAATTTTAACCAAATCGTTGTTTCATAACCCATCTTCTTTTTTTCTTTTCAACAGTTAGCTTCCTGTAGGGATGTCTCTCCAGTTAACTTAATGTTAAAAACACATTTACATTGCTTTCACTTACTATTTTCCAGATATAATAGTCATGCTTTAAAAAATGTAAAACTCTCTCTAAACTAGCCCCCTAATCTTTTTATCTAGTCCACCTCAACATTTACACCATCTGCTACTGATGTCAAAGAATTGGCTCTCAGTGCCCAAATACCCCGTTTGACTGATTCATACTGAAAGCGTCAAAGACATCCTTTGAAAAGAAGATTAATCTTAATCAAAGTGATCAATTTATAGTTTTATCCACATGGAATTGGATTGGAAAGGCAGTGACGTGCCAAGTCATTGGTGAAAACTGTCATTATAGTCAATCACTCTGCCCATTCCAGTTGTGTAAGAAGACTGGTGGACAGATTCAAACATTTAAATGACATCCTAATTACATGATGTCTCATAAAAAAAAAAAATACAGCACCATTTCCCAGTCCCAAATCCCAGAGTACTTACTTGGATGCCATTCAAAAGAATAAACCACACAGGCTAAGCTTCCCAAAAAGTGCTCTCAGGGAAGCATGTTGAGCCCATTTGTGAAGGCTAAGTGTCTGCCACCCAGGGGGATGACTGAGGCAGAGGAGCAGGTTCGACAGGCGGCCTTGATTGGTCCCTGATCGTCTTACACCAGGCAGGAGGCAGAGTAATATTTATAGTAGCTGCATCAGTAACAGCATGCATTTACTTAAAACGATTTATTATTGTTTATTAGACTCATGTCACAGTGCAGCTCTGTGGTTGAGCAAAATTAAGTAAAATTTTTTTTAACTGTTTGTTAGATTCAGTAAACGGTCACAGTTTTTATGCAGTTATGGCTAAGGATGTGTTCTTTAATGCAGTCACATAACGCCCTCCCTGAAGCAAGTGGTAGTAGTAATCTTTGTCTTTTCAGAAGTTCCATTTCTGCCTTTTTATGTGAGATAAATACAACCAATAAAGTCCCTACAGACATTAAGAATAAAAATAATATTTCGAAAAACCAAGGCGTAACTATGTACACATACGTGATATCACCTGATTTGTTTGACAGAGTGAGACAAGGTACAAAAGATCTCTGAGCATGAGAAATTGTGGCACCCTGAACCTTTGCCCGTTCCCACCAGTTAAGACTGTGCCAAACTGCGTTGTTGCTGACGTGCAATTTTATTGAATTTGCTCTTATTAACTACAGACAGTAAAAATTCCAGGCAAAAAAGCAAAACAGAAGGCGAGTACATTCCACATGTGAATAGAAGAAAAGAGCCAGTGTGTATCTATCAAAGACATGTGATGTATTTGATAGATGACATGCGTTTATTGTTGGCTCTCTTCCACAGCGTGTCTTTGTCCTGTCTTCCTCCCCTCACCACCAACCAGTCACGGCTCTTGGCTCCCCCTCCCTGAGCCTGATATTGCCGGATGTTTCTTTCTCTTAAAAGGGAGTTTTTCCTTCCCACTGTTGCCAAGAGCCTGCTCAAAGTCGTCTGATTGTTGGAGTTTTCTATTACTACCTTAGAATATAACGTGCCTTGTGGCAAATGTTGTTGGGATTTAGTGCTATAGAAATACAAGTTGAATCAAACTGTTGCAGCTTTCACATGAGATGCAATTGCTGTTTCCTTTCTTGTAAATGGCACTTATGTTTGAATCCTATGACAGATTTTCCTTGATCGCTGTCTCTAAATATTTGTATTCATTTACAACCTCAGTGCTGTCACCACTAACAGCTACCTGTTGGTGTGTCTTCCCACAAGCTTTTAAAATGATTATAAAAAAGGTTCATTTATTTTCTTGTTGATTAACTAAAAAAAGTGGATCTGAATATTAGCCTCACAGTTTTCACATGAAAATTATTGTCATTTGAAAAACAACAATAAAATTTAACCGACCACATTAAAACACTGGACAGAGATTACTGGGATAACTGGATTAGGTAAAGTGTCCCAGCTGCTGTCAGTGCTGATCTTACAGTGTCCGTTATTATTGACGATTAGTGTATAAAAGCCCACCTGCTCACTCTTCTCAGATTAACACCCCACTACACTCCTGCTGTGGTGAAAAGAACAAGCTTACCTTCCACTTGTGCTTCAGGGTGTGCTCCCACTTGCTCTCACCTGATGCTGAAGTTGAAATTCACGTGACATTCACTCCCTGCACCTGATGTTAAAGCTGCTCTTCCACACCTTAGACTGCAGCTGGAGGCCACATTGTGGTCTCCCTGTTTAACTGATGCTGTCTAAATCAGACATTCACAGATCCATCCATCCACCCATCCTTATCTTGGGGGTAACAGTCCAGGCACATAAGCCCCTCCCTCTTCTTAGCCACCTCTTCCAGCTTATCCAGGAGGACCCTGAGGTGTTCTCGAACCAGTGTCTCCATCATTTCATGGGTTACCCTAGGTCATGGGTGGGCAATTCCAGGCCTCAAGGGCCGGTGTCCTGCAGGTTTTAGATCTCACCTTGGGTCAACACAGAGGCCTCTGGAGAACTTCAGGACATGTTGAGGAGCTAATTTAGCCATTTAAATCAGCTGTGTTGGTTCAAGGACACATATAAAAGGCCTGGAGTTGCCCACCCCTGCCCAAGGTCTTACCCAGAACCCCTTGTCCAGAAAGCAACCAAGAAGCATCATAGTCGGATACCTAAACCACACCACCTGGATCCTGTCAATGTGGTGGAATATCAGTAATATCAGTTCTCAGAGCTCATGGCCATAGGTAGAAGTGTACAATGACGGGTAAATCGACAGCTTTGCTTTCGCAGTCAGCTCTCTTTTCAGCACAACAGAGGACTACAGTGTCCACATCACTGCTGATGCCATACAATCAGTCTGTCAGTCCAATTTATTTATATAGCAAAGTTCAAGACAGACGATGCTGCACAAAGTGCTTAACAATATAAAAATGCCATTAAAAAGAAACAATGTAAAACAATAGTAACAATATAAAACAATGATAGGACAATAAAATAATTAAAACAGTAATTAAGACTAGTAAATAAGACCAAAATGTTTGGGTCATAGTGTGTTAAAAATGTGTCTTTAGTAGTGATTTAAATTGATCAAGTGTTTGTGCAGAATATTTAGGGGAAGACTATTCCAGTCTGGGACCACCACAGAGAAGGCTCTATTGCCACGAGATTTGAGATAAGTCCGTGGGATGGACAGCATTAATTTTGAGCTAGACCTCATGGTTTTTCCTGGAGCATAAACAGAAAGGATCTCAGACAGGTAAGAAGTGGCTCAGGCGTTAAGTGGCTTAAAAGCAAAAAGTAAAAGTTTAAATTGGATCCTGTAGGAGAGAGGAAGCCAGTGTAGAGAAGCTAAAACTGGGGTTATATGCTCTCTCCATTTGGTACCAGTTAGCAGGCGAGCAGCTGCATTTTGGACCATCTGAAGATGATGAATGGAGGCCTGGTCGAGACCAAACTACTGTTACTCTCTACCTCGACCCAGCTGTAGTGTTGTTTTACCAAATGTGTTGATGCCACTCAGTTGCACTGACTGGAATTTGCTGTATTAACTGAAGCAAAAGTCTGTGAAATCTGTGTGTGGAAGATCTGCAAGGATTTAAAAATGCAGAAATAAAAATTCACCTATGCATTTGTGGCTTGTTTTTGTTGTTGGCAATGTGAGCGGCACCTGCGTTGTGAGTCCTGGGGGATATGTTTTACAACCTCTTTGGAGAAGAGCAGTGTGCATAAAATGTGTAGACTGTGTCCACACATGCATTTACCTCTGTCTGTATTTCTACAGGTACTCAGTGGTGGGTTTTATTGATAAGAACAAAGACACTCTGTTCCAGGATTTCAAGAGACTGCTGTACAACAGGTAACACAACACACAGTAATACACACTGCTTCAATTTTCAATCACCTCCACACACACTCTTCAAAGTGTCTCTTTCACTTTCTAGCACGCTGATTACATGACAGCTCTCTGAAAAGAACGACTAGTGCAATGAATCCTCTCCCAGCTTGCTCTTATCCTCCTCCTCCTCTTCTTCACCAGTCCTCTTCAGCTTTTTTTGTGCTGAATATAAATGTGATCAACTAATTGCTTACCTGTCTAATGTATGTTCATGGTATTCTTAACACAAATCAGAATCATGACATTTTTGAAAGCAGATCAGTTAATTTTGGCTGGAAGAGTATGTGCTAAGTGTTGTAGCCATATGGAGCTGTTATCCTTATGAGAATGCCTCCAATATGCATCCAGGCTGGGCCCAAGCATTGCTGGAGGCATTATAATTCCATGCTGTCCGTCTGTACTTCACTTGAATGTGATATTTCCTAAACAGAAACAGCAGCCCTTGGATTCAAGGGTGAATTGATTGGATTTAAGTAATCAGAGGTTAAGGTCATCCAGAAGGCTGAACACAAAAAGATGTTTTTAGCCATGACCCAAGAATTCAGATGCTAATTATGACAAAAATTCACACAAATTAGAGAAGATGATGATGTGATGTCCCTTTTCCCCCCAGAAGGTCAACATTTTACTTCACAGTGACAATAGATGGTTGTGTCCTATTACGACAACTCAGGGACAACTCAGTCTTCTATAATTGTATTATATCAGTCTTAACAGATATGGATATAAATTTGAACAATCTAGTTTTATTTATCATGCATATGGACAGGGATGCACAAGCATCCAGTGATGCAGTGTGCAGTCTTGACCATAATAGGTCTCATTAAATGTCATGTTTGGATTTGATTAGAAAATCTTGTTGAAATGTTACACATATGTCACATTTAACATGGACGAATATTAAATTCTGCTGCTTCTCTTTTTGCTCAGTAGTCTTGTAAATGTTGATCTTTTCTCTTTACTTTTTCTCTGTCCAGTTCCAACCCAGTACTTAAGGCCATGTGGCCTGAGGGCAAACTGAGGATCACAGAGGTCACCAAGCGACCGCTGACGGCTGCAACACTCTTCAAAAATTCAATGATCTCATTGGTGGAGAACCTCGCCTCCAAGGTGAACCTTTCATAAGTGCTGCATCAGATAATATTCATATTGAGCCAGTGGATTATAACCCTATACGTGTTCCTAAGAAGGAATTAAAGTGAAGAGAAAGATTCTGACTACAAATCCTGTTAAATGACACGACCTGTGTACACTTGCTGATATGCAATACTGCAAGTTTTATTTTTTAAACTGTTCAACCTTACTTTACATATTACTCTCAAGTACATGAAGTAAATGACCAGACTTAAAGAAAATGTTCATGTTTAGGGGCAAATAAAGATTGTATTAAAGGAATCATCTTCATCAGAGATGCTAAATATTAATAAAAACTACTTGCCCAAACTACTTCCTGTTATCTTCCAGATATGGTTTAATTTGGAAGAAATCATTGCACAAAACTGTGCTTTGTTTGTCAGTAGTATATCTGAAAGTTATGCAAAAGAATGTTACGGGCATTCGTTTTATCCCCCACATCCAAATACCTGAAAAATATGAATAATATCTAACAGCATTCATGAGGTGAAGCCTTAATGTGCGAGACCAACTTCCCAGCCCCCCTTTATTTGCTGTTCCTGGTGTCCGTGCGAATACACGTCTGTTACAGAAGAGCATATAGTTACTGTATATCACCACTGCAGTTTGAACTACAGTAGAAAACATTGGCTGGTGTGTAAATCCACCTTGTGTTGCTCTGTACAGGAACCCTACTACGTTCGCTGCATCAAGCCCAACGATGTCAAGTCCCCTCTGCTCTTTGAGCATGAGCGCTGCCGTCATCAGGTGGAATACCTCGGGCTGCTAGAGAACGTCAGAGTGCGTCGCGCTGGATTCGCCAACAGACAGACGTACCCTCGCTTCCTACAAAGGTGCGCCAAAACACAGTCTTTCAAAGCACCTCTGCCCTATGATTAAAGATGTTTGAGTGAATTATATATGGATACTTTAAAGGGCTTTACTTTCCACTTAAAAGGCTGAAACCACCTATGTCGATTGATCCTTCATTTATGTTTTTGATTCATCTTTTTGCCTATAAAATGTTAGGTGCCATTTTTTACTGTTTTCTATCTATCACACTAGCCCATACAAACTGTGTGGAAAAAAGCAGCAATTTCTTGCATGTGAGAAGTTGAATTTAACAATATTTTGACATTTATGGCTTGTAAAAGTATTAAATAGATCAGATTTACCTGAATATGAGCTACAAAGTAGTCATATAAATCTGTGTCACCCACACATATGAATATTCACCCAGAAGTCAAACTCTTAAGATTTAGACTCTTTCGTGAGAGTGTCCTGGGGTATTATCATGGCAGAGTAAACATGATGTTACGTATTTACAGACTCTGTCATTTCCTCACCCCCTTTGAAAGCTGAGGCCGAGGCTACTTTTAAGACTCCACAGTCTTCTTTAAAGTGACAGTTGTTGGTGTAAAATGAGCAGCTGCATGAATTTGGAGCCTATTTCTTTGCCCTAAATGTCCTCATAAACACATTTCTGTGAACCATTTCTGTAACATACAGAAATTTTTTCACATAGCCAAAATGCTGGGGTCAGTTTGAGCAGACATTCCTACATGCAGATGGTTGACTCTTTGCAATATCGCAGGCGGTTGGAGAGGGAGAGCACCCCTCAATCATCCGTCCTGACCATGTCCACGGGACATCAAATATTCAGTGCTGGGAAACACTTAACCTTACCAACACTGCATCCCAGATTGTTTACAACTTGTATGCATAAGAAGGAATCAAAACCATCACAGTATTTCCAAGTGTGTGTTGCACATTTACACAACATCCATAAGAAAACAATCAAATGTGACAAATTTAATACAATATTTCAAAATAAACACACACATGAATATAAATTTTAGGCCTTTGAAGCATGAGTATTGTCCAAGTAGAAGAAAAATAACCTACTTTCAATTACTCATTTATTCACAAGGGGTCGCCACAGCGGGTAGCTCCGCATATTTATTTTTTTTACAAATCTAAAACTGGTTGGATTCCTAATTCTTTTAGTCCCCAAGGGGCTGAGTGTGAATGCAGCAAATCTTGCTTTCTAACAGCAGCACATGTCAACAACGCATTAGAACAACAACAGACCAAATCATTTAATTAAAGATCAAGTGGTCCTGATCTAATTGCACGTTGAAGTTTTTTTTCCTCAGTGAGCAGTAAATTAATTTGGTTCAGTCAATTAAGCAAGACCATTGAGAAAAATGACCACAATTATAAATCATAGTTTGATGTATTTTTCATGCTAGATGAAAGTATGGTAGATTGAAGGTTTGTGGTGCATGATTCATTTTTTTTAAAAAACATTTTCTTCTCAGATTAGCTTTAAAATGTTTGTGCAATGAGAGACTGAGCTTCCCTCACCTGAAACACTATTATTAAAATGTTATTGAACCCCTGAAGCTGTGCGTCGATCAGGCATCAAGGATATTGCACAAAAAGTCTTGACTGTGGGGTGTAAATATTGTGTTGTGTAACCTAATCAGCATCCAATCAGCTAATCAGCTGCATCTCTAGCAGCTATTCTAAAATAATCCCTTCAGTGTCTTCTTTTTCTAAACAGTAATTTAGCGTAATGTTTTGTCCTTTTGATTAAAAGCAATTCTAAAACACCCACATTTGATTATAATTACTGAAGAGGGATGCTGATAGGGCATCTTAATTTGTTGAAGAATTACCCAGTTTTAATGTGGCACAATAACAAACAAACAGCAAGTACTAGTCAGTGACCTGTGTTAAAAACTCATGGTTTATTCATAGGCAAAAGCTTCGACATGTTGCAAACCTGTTTACATTCTAATTAGTTCTAAATTGCTTGCAACTGGAGGTGCAATAACTGGCCTCTGAGGCTTAAATCAATACAGGAATTTAGTCAAGAAATCTAACATATTTGACCAAGCTGAAAATCGTTCATTAAAACACTTTTTTGATCATGAAACATGAAACAAAAGTTATTAGCAAGAAAAAAACACAATGTTACCAAAACTATTATAAATAATAAAAGTTAAAAGATTGAATTTAAAGACTTAGTACATTCCAGTACGTTTAGTGCATTCAAACAGAGCTTTAAGAAACTTATTACCTACTGCTACATGTAAGGCAGAATATCATCATCATCATCATCATCATCATCATCATCATTTATTTATTTATATAGCACTTTAAAAACACACCTGGTAGACCAAAGTGCTGTACAATACTAATATGCACATAGTAATAAAACCAGACAGAATAGAAAATCACCTTAGCTGATTCTGACATAGACTTGCTGCTTCCACTAATAATAATCATCCAATAACAGTAAATTAAGGATCCTGCATACCTTTACTTTTTATCCTTCAAGTATATTTTGTTCTCTGTGGTTATTTTAACATGACACAGACACCTGGGGAGTTTCAGAGGGACACCATTTAGTCTGCAAGGCAGGGGTCTTTATTTTTAAATGTAATTGGATTCTCTGTGCATTACCTATGTCTGACTTCCTGCCTTCTTTGTCACGGTGCTGCAGTGCATTGTTTTATTGGTGCAGTCCATCGTGATGCCCCCAGTGGGACTTGGGTAACTCACAAGAGCTTGTTTAGTTCTTGTTTGTTCTGTTGACTCTGCGCTGCTGTTAACTATCCTGTGACAGGCGGGTAGTATAGGCTGTATACAACAGTATGACCTATGCATGTACTACAAGTAGTGATGTATAGTGCATTTCTTTCACCCGTTGACCAAAACATCTGCTAAATTTGCCTGTTTTATATCTAGAGCTGAAATGTAGCATGTTTTTGACAATAGGCTGCAAAACCAGCTGATTCTGGCTTTTCATGTGTGCTGTTCTTTTAATCTGTTTGTGTTTCAACACAAAAGAGATATCCAGAGACATTACTTGGAGTCTTAGAACTTATCAACATATTAACAATGGGCATATTAACATTTCACTGGATGCTAAATTAATAATACAAATCTGCAATCAAAGAGATCCATAATCTCGACAGTTTAAAGTCTTGCACGCAGCAGCGTTCATAAGAATGTTCTGCTTTGGCCTCATTACATTTCTGTAATGAGGCCAAAGCAGAACAAAAGCTCAGGGTTAAACTTTAAAGACTGTTACAGGACAGATGTGGATTCTTAGAGTCCTCCGATAGCACTCGTCCTCTGACATTTTAAGCTTCACGTTCTTTTTTAAATTAAAAATACAAGTCAAATATCACTTATTGGGAACTGATCACTGCTGATAGAAGATATAATAATTGTAAGATTGTTTTGTTCTAATGGAACATAATGCGATCGATCCCATACTTACACAGTGTACAGTGTATTAACTAACACTCCAAAATAGTACACATACTTGTGCCTCACCCTTATTCCCCAGCTGTCACATTCACCCACTGCCCTCCTAGAAATCCTGCTGGATTGAGGATTAAATAATGAGACTTTTGCATAACATGCTAACAAGGCATCCAACTCCATTACTCCAGTCCTCCTCGGTGATGGCATTATATCACAGCCTTACCAGTGGATCAGCTGTGAAATGACTCAGATCGCAGCTGTTACGTGGCAAAGTTTTGAAAACTGTTGATTTGATCTGGCAGCAGTGATGGCATCCTGAACTCCGGCAACCACCCCTAAAGTCTGCAATTAAATAGGAAGTAACAGAAGATGATGATGCGATGTTTGCTTTGAGAGTGTCGATGAAGAAGTATAGAGAAGATTAGAAGGAGTTTAACGGTTTGTTTTTGAACCCAGGACTTGTTATATCTATGTAATCTGATGCTGAAAATGTATCCAGAAAATGTTCTCTGAATTTAACTATAGCATTGCTAATATGTTGATGTTTAGCAGGTATAAAGTACCATCTTGATTTGACGTATTGGCATCGTAAACAAATGCAATGTACAGCTGGGGCTGATGGGAGATTCATTAGTTGCTGGTGTTTGTTCTAAAAACAAAAAGTCCTCAGCAAAGTGAAATATATATATAGAATTATCCAGATCCTATTTAATTCCTCCCACAATGATCTAAATTTAAAGTCATAAATCTGCTGACACACAGTGCACATTTCTTCATGCAAACACTTTGTCCTTCCTCCAGATATAAGATGATCTCCGAGTTTACCTGGCCAAACCACGACTTGCCATCAGACAAAGATGCAGTCAAGAGGCTCTTGCAGGGCTGTGGGTTCGACCACGACGTGGCCTACGGCAAAACAAAGGTCTTCATCCGCACGCCGCGGACGCTCTTCAGCCTGGAGGAGCAGCGAGCTGAAATGGTTCAGAGAATCGTCCTCTTCCTCCAGAAAGTAAGAGTCTGACTGAATCTCAGTAGATGATGAATCAGATTTGTCAGCTTGAAATGTAAATCAGTTGTGTCAGTATTACACTGACATCATGGGAAATTTATTGGTGATTTAGTGCTGCCAAACTAATGAAAAGCCCCCCTGTTGTCACTGATTTTATATTTTCCTTCTCTTTTAGTCGTCCTTTTACATCCTCTAAAACTTGTCCTGAATTCATGCAAAAAAATATCCTTTTATGGTATTCATTGACAGCAAAAGGGTTCCTAATTGCAAACATCTGTTATTGTAAATACCTCCGATTTCCAGTCATCAACAGCTATTATCTGATTACGGCCCTTGAAACAAGATCATGAGGTTCTTCTTGTTTCCAGACCCAAGTCGTGCTCTCATTGATATTCACCAGCTTTTGTTCTGCATATGAATAACCTGTGAGACTAGAAAAGCTCAGCCTGTACTCAAAGTTATACAAGCGCCGAGGTATTTTTGGACCTGATATAATCTTGTACTATTAGCATTATTCTCTATCTCTTAGGGTGAATATCTTTCTGCCGCTTCTCTTTTTTGTCTGAGTTTTCACCCACGCAACTCTCGCACAGTTACCAGATAAGATAAGTAGATCTCTAATTTAGAATTAAAGGTGAGTCTGGGTTTTGGGGCAATAACAGAGATGTTCTTTGTGTTAAATTAAAAAGCACCACCATAATGCAGATGTGTCCTCATGTAATTGAGCCATGTCTTTGATGTTTTTGCTCTGCAGGCTTTGAAGTTAATCACACCTGCTTTAACTGTGAGGTCTCTGCAGGTGTCAGTGGACTGTAAATATGAAGTGAATTAGTTGTACCTAGATTGTTCAGCTAGATGTTAAGATTGGCTTGGACTAAGCTTAGACTTTCCTTACATATTGGGAATAATTCAGACTGTACATGAACGATGCAAGTAGCCATATTGAGGACTCATGGTCAGCGTTTTAGCCATCGCCATCTTGGTTTTTATAAACCACGCATCAAAGGAGCAGGTAGTCACGCCCCAAAGCTACCCATCTTTATCGTATAGTCAGTTGAGACTATAACCTCATATGGACTCATGTGACTCACTGCTGGTCATGAAAAAGAATGCACATTTAAAGCACTGTGCATTGATTTCACTTGACTTTTCAAATGCTAAAAGGTTGTGTTCATTTTTTATACAGTCTGTGGATCAAGCATCTGATACTGGGAGACGTAAACACATAGCAAGAAGGAGTTAACTGTTCTTCAATATTTCTTGATCAAGTGATTTGGATTCTTTTGTATGTTTACCTTCTTCCGTGTCACACATTTAAACATTTCACAGTTTTACATGTGTGTTAACTGAAATGAAAAGTGAACTGAAATGAAAAAAACTGAACCAATTGTTTATTTTTATTTTCATTTCTTTTCTGCGCTTCCTGTTTTGGCTCGCCTGCAAGCTTTGCCTCCTGCTGCTGTATCAATTAGTTGACTAATATATTGTTGATTAAAAGCAATAATTTGTCATTTGTCAAGCTAACGCCAAATGCATGTTCCAGCTTCTCAAATGCGACGCCTTTTCTCTGGTTTGTACAATTACAGTTAAATAACTTCAGATTTTAGACTGTTGATGGGACAAAAGAAACACATGAAATCAGTATTTATTGCTTTTTCTTCCAGCTATATATGCTGCAAATGATCTGTTATGAATATTGATTGCTGGTGTGTGTTTCTCTGCATTCATGCGTCAGCGGTTTGATGACACCTCCTTCAGGCGAGAATGTCAGTGTCTTGTTGTGATTACGTCGCATTCGCTGACACGTGTCGGCTTAGCGTGCAGAGTACAACTTGTTATTTTTTTCATTTACTTTGATAGATAAAGACATGAGTCTGAGAATGTGGACTGTGGCTCTTTCTGCGTATCAAATTGAGGACACGAAATGCAAATCGCCCGGATGCTTCAAAATGCTTCTTTTGATTGACAGCCAAACGGCAATACTGTCAGTCTGTCAGCAGTTTGTGGGCGTGCAGTGTGTACACACTCTACACACATCTTACAGACTATAGCCTACATTTGGAGTCATGTGATTGGCACTCACGCGCTTTTTCCCAGCCTGTCATTACATTACCTTCGCGTGGGCAGATTCCTTTGCACCATGTTGCTTTCATCCCTACCTTTCTCAAATATTCTCTCCAACCTCTCAGACATGAAAGGGTTATCCAAGCCATATTAACTTTTGTACAGGATTGATTGGCTGACCTTATCGATCCGTTTGACCCTTTGCAGGCTTTTCCCACAAGCTCGCAGGACGGGTGTTGGCTCAACCGCTCCCTCAGGAGAATCTTATCTTGTATCTCACAGGATAAGCAGGCTTTGATAATGAAGGGAAAGCCCAGAGGATTTGAAGCTTCCCCACCTAAGCAAACATCACAGCATTGCTGAGGTGGAAGAGGGGTATTTAATCTTGCCCTCTGTCAGCATTAAAGCTAGGCGTGCAGTTTGCGCTTAACACACAGTCGCATGCCCATTCACTCATGCGATATGCATGCAGTGACACACAAAATCAAATAGTGGTGTGACAGCAGAATTGACTCCTGTATGTACCACGCTGTTACTCAAACAAACATCCCAGACGGAGTATGATCTGCTGTGCCAAGCAATCCCCTTATCAGCACCTGGCACACCAGACTGCCTTATGCCAGTCGAGACCACAGTGCCAGGGCTGTCATTGTATGACTGCGGCTCAGACACACTTCTTGTTTCTCCGTTTGCTCTGTGGATTTATTATAAAACCACTCAGTTTGCTCCATCAAACAACAAAAAAATCCCCCTACAATCTGTGAATCTGCACAGTCTCCTAAACACAGGTTGAGTGGCCGCTCATAGTGCCGATGCTGCTGGTCGGAATCGGGAGATCATTGTATTTTCTGTGTCTGTGCTGTTGCTTTATTCCTTTAAATTACCATAATGTACAATAAACCTGGTGTAGCTAGAGGAATGGACTGGTGCAGGGGGAGGGGCAAGAAGTCCTCTACTGCTTCATTTAATCCTCTACCCTTCAGCCCGCATTCACCTGCTCACACTCGCCTCATCTTCCTGCTTGTGTTGTGCTACTGAGCGCAATACCAGTGATTGCTCTGCATCCATGTCTGTGCAGTCCTGCACTGACAACACTGAAGCCTGCCACATTGAAAGCAATCTGATTATTACCACTTTGAGAAATGAAAGCATGAAGATTCCCAAAAAAAAGCACATGACATCTCAACATAAATACAGATGTTATAAATTATACATAGGCCACCCCCACCTTCACTCTGTCAAAATTAATATTTCATAAATTCAAGCTCAGCCATCCACATCACAGTACCTGTCAGCGTTTGTCAGAGCAGGGACAATGACGAGAAAAGAGACACCCCCCTCTCGTGTATTCTGAGCTGCCGCCTTAATTGCTTTCCAAAGCTTTACATACTCTCCATAGCAGTGGGTTTATCAGACGTGGCGAGCGTTATGTCTTGGGCAGTCAGCTTTCACAGCGCAGCCACAGGGGGCTTGTCTGGGCAGTAGCTAAATGAAAATGTCTTTAAAAGATAAAGAGCTTTATTTTATTATTTTGTACTGTTTCCCGTTGGGTGAGTCGTGTCTTCAGGCAATAAGAAGTGCAGCAATAATTTAAGTCTTTTTGGGGAAGACTCTGACATGGAGAGCCCTCCTTTATGGCCCTCTTGTGAATAGTGGGCTACTTAGTGCGAGGCTAACACTGCCTCCTCTCTGTTTAACTGCCCAGAACTGATCTGTCTTCTTCTAGACATCAGCAGCTACATGATCTGTAATCCTTTGATCCTATCTGAACCTGCAAAGTGTTTTAGTTATCATCGAAAGCTATCACCTCCACAAAACTCAGTGCAGCTGTCTGTAACTGATCAAAGGAAAGTTTAACTTTTTTGTAACAATCCCACCGCTGGGTTTGAAAGAAATGTGCCTCCTTTGTTCTCAGAGAAACCTGTAATGATGAAACTCTTCATGTGTCTTTTTTTATATGACACTGATTATATGGCAAAAAAGTCTTTATTTTATATTGTAGTATATCATATTCTCAAACTTCCATGTTATTCATTATTTAGTACCTAAGTTTCTGATCTTTAAACCTCCTTAAACTATGAAGCTGACTTTTAAAGAAATGCCAGATTTAAAAAATAAATGGATAAAATTCAAGGCTGTGAGATTGATTGTAGCCTATAAATATCTTACAGCCCACAATGCTTTTGGATAATGTGAAAACTTTCTCCATGGCAACTGAAGTGTGGCTCACAGGCAGATTCATTTTCCACTTGGCTGTATCCTCACTAATTCTCACTAATTTCATTTCACTTGAATGAAATTGAAAATGTTATAAATTAGAGATGCAACAGACATGGCCACCCTGTAGCCTTGTTGTCGTTGTCGCCTTTAAAACATGGCAAATTACAAACCACAGGTCCTTGATAGTGGAAAGAATTTAAGAGGCTAATGAGGGAAAATCTGACACAAGTACCTGAACAAATCAAACACAAAATCACATTTTCAGAGATTGAAAGTGATCGAATTTCAAAATAACTGCCAATTAAAGGTGCAGTATGGACTGTTTTCATTTATATCCTGCCACGAGAACTTGAAAGAAACACAGGGATACTTTGATTTTTTTTTTCATGATTATTAATAATTGGTTGTTGTACATATTTAGTCAACCAGGAAACAGGTTTGAAATAGTGCATGTGTGTCTCAGACTAACACGCTAAAGGGTTCTTCACACTATAGTTTAATGTGGTCCAAATCAGTTGGCAAATTTGTAAACTTGTAGCTTTTTCCTGTGATTCGGTTTCTTTTCTCAGGGAAAAAGTTAAAGCAAACCAAAATGTGTCCCTGCCTACAAACCACATGCTTAATGTCTGCATAGATAGGTGCTGTGTTCTGGACTAGTGTATACAATGGAAAATTTACTCCTGCCATTTATTATTTATCTGGGAGATCTGCACTCC